TTTTGATCAGCAAGTACCTAATTGACAGGAATTGACCTAATTGACCAAACTGAAGAGAACTGATTATTTTGGGGAATTTTGGCAAGACTCTGGAAAAAATTATTCAGATTGTRCTTTTTACAGTAGTCTTCATGCCATGTATCTCTGTATTACGTCTGCGAGTTGTGTCAGTTTATGCWCACCTCTGCCAGCTTTACAGTACTGTATTTTGTGCTGTAAACTACAGAAAGATTAATTTATTTCTACTGCTGTCAGAACAAATTTAGAATTTGTTCTGAGTATGAAACTGTGAAATGAGACAGCTGTCACTGTAATTTATCCCCATCACCGCTTTGCTGGCAGTTCATTAGTTTGGCGTTTGCAGCTGTTTTCACATGATGCACTAGTGCGCCTTCTGACAGCCTRTATGAGCCCGAGGAACAATCATGGTCCTTTAGACCAGGAGTACCGTACCCATGCTCTGGCCTTCAGAATCTCTTAGGCAAAACAAGCACGAGAGAACTASTCTCGCTCCAGCAGCATCCAATGTCTCTTTAGCCCAAGCACAGCTCTGCCTCCTTTCTCTGTCCCAGCCCCCTTTGAAGACCTCTATCCTGTTGGCATCCTTCAAAAAACCCATCCCTACCTCACAGTTTCATCTCAGAATTAAAATCAAGCAATGCTGAATCSTGTGCTGCAAACTGCAGATATTTGCTTGTGATGAAAATGCTAAGATGCTGACAATTTCCGTTGGATATCCTGATCCTGGAGACATGAGGGTAAGAGAAGATCAGAATGGGTACTTTAGAGGAGAGGTGTAGCAAGGGGAAATGAATCATCAGAGAGGTAGTTGCGATACCCATTTGGGCTCCAGCAGTGAGTGGCTTATCAGATACGCAGTGCCTGAGACCTACTAGGTTCAGATCTTCCCTTGAGTCCAGGTAGGGGAGAGGGAAGGGGAAACGAGGCCCAGTGTTTAGTGCATATGATAAATATATGAAACAAAGCTGAATACCTGTAGCAGAACTGTCAAAAAGAATCCCAGAGCAGAGTATCATATGGACTGCTGATGAGGGCATGGATTCAGGCACCCTCAGTGAAGAAACTGGTGGTGCCAAGTTATATCTSTTACAGCAGTCTCAAGTAATATATGGGATGAATAACTCAAGTGTTGGTGTTATAGGAAAGATGAAGGGTTGAATGAGGCTGCTAGGATGTTAGCAGTGGGAGCAATCAGAAAAAAAAAAGAGAAGGGTATGATCTCTCCAGAATCTCAGGTAAAGAACTATGCTTATTTTAATTTGAATTCCTAACACTTACAGAAAACCAAAATAAAGCAGTATAGCTAAAGAAGAAGATAGGCCATTTTCCTGGAGGTATCTTAGGTCTGAAGTGCATTCTGCCCCTTGCTTTGCTAGACCCTACATCTAGTGACATGCAAATATCTGGTATAGCAGCCAGTTCTGCACAGCTCTACAGTGGAGTACACGAGCCTTGCATACCATTTTCGTAGGAGTTGGAGACTAAGAAACATTGGCAGAAAGTGCATTTCCAGGAGGCAGTGATGCATAATACTTGGAGCTGTTTCAATTGCTGATAGCACTTTGATCTGATCCTGATCGTCCTGCTTATGCTGCCTTCTGCCTTATGCAGAAGATGAATCAAATGAGAAACTGTTCAGCTTAAGTGAAGTCAATCAGCTGTGGGTCTCTGAGCTGATCCCTATTCTCTATATAGAATAGCGTGGGATGTAAGCAGGAACAAGAGTMAAGCTTTGCATTCCACAGAGTGCTTGTCCTTTCTCTAAAACTTTTTGTTTTCTTTCTGCATTCATTTGCCATTCATCTGTTTTTGCAGTTCAGTTTTCCAGCTCTCTTTTCTGGCTGTCCTGGTCATTTTCATTTCTCCTTTACCAAGTCCTTTTGATGGAGAAGGTTGGCTGTTTTGCAGTGAAGTGCTCCCATACTACTAGAAAAGGAATCAAATTGATTGCTACTCTCTTCTTAATAATTGATCTTTATGCAAACTAGGAAGAAATGCACCATTTTCTAGTGCTGGTTGACCTAAGACATTCCCAAAGAAAGATGAGTTTCCTCCATTATGCCATCACATATGGTAGTTCATGATTTCCAGACTGAGAACACTGGCTTTATCCTCTCCAGATGAAAATTAGTATGTTCTCTTTCTTTGTAGAGAGGCAGACTGCACATCTTCAGCTGGTACAGGTTAGTACAGCTTCCTTGCCTTCAGGGAAGGGCAGCACTATGAAGATCTGTCCATTAAAGTAACTTAATTTATCACATTAATGATTTTAATATTGACTGTCTGATACAAAGGCATGAAACACTTATTATTTCTCTCGAGTTTTTCAATAACTTTATAACTGGAACAAAATATTGAGACTGTTACTGCCTGCGCCAGTCGTCACAGTTCTGATTACTACTGCTGCATCCAGGCTCTTTCCTGAAATGTTCATTAGAGCCCACACAAACACGTTAGGAGTGGAAAACTTGTGACAGACAAGGTCTGACTATAAAATATGAGAAATATAGGACAGCTMTGACCTCATCTCAGTAATAAAAGTGTTTTTATTTGCCATCAAAAATAAAATGCAGATGGCCAAGCAGTTTAGTGAGRATCTGTTGTTGAAGTGGGGAGAGAACGGTCATGAAATAAACTGGGCCAAAATGAGCTCTGCTATTATGAACGTGTTGCTTGAATATTTTTTCCAATCAAAAGTTTGTGTTTATGTAACCTGTGAAATACACTGGGGAATGCACTTTTGTAACCGATATAGCAAAAGCAAAAATACGCAGGCTTTTAAAAGGTAGTGCAAGCTCCAAAGACCATAAAAATCTCTTTTGGGAAGGGTAGAAAAAGATGAGAACTTGTAAGAGTCACTTCTGTCACTTGCAGTATACAGGCCAAGGGAGTTTAGTGTGCCATGTAGTTACAGATGATTAATTGAAAATAGATGGATTCTGAGAAACTATCGCTATTCGGAGTAGCAAGCAGAAATTATCCACAGCCTCTCTGGAGTCCAAGGTTAATGCTTACACCCGGAGAACAGCGAGGGCCAACTGGAACAAGCGTGTGCTCTCATTATAAAAATATGCCGCTTAACTCAGCCTGTGTGAGCTGCACTAGCGGATCGGAAGAGCTGGGGAAGGCTGTGCAGCAGTGCAGTGCAGCACGTTCCTTTGGGTGACTTTGTGGCCAAGTTGCCTGTGCAGCTGCCAAGTACTGCCCTGGTACCCAGCCTTGCCCTGCCACGCTGAGCTTTAGGCTTCTCCTAGCCTTCTGCCTTTGACTAGGTCCTACTGAACCCTCAGGGATCTATCCACCTTGCAAAGTGTGTTCTAGAAAAATGTTGGATTCTTAAATTTCCTATAGTATGTCTTAATTCTGCTGGAAGCTGTTTCACATAGAAGAAAAAAAAAAGGCAATTCTGTTTAGGAGTCATTGATCTGAACAGCAGTTTCTGCTGTAGATCTTACTGTGCAAATGGGACTGGTCTGCACARGGAATGCCAAGAGCGTTTTATTATTACTATTGTTATTTTGCTGTTACCATTCCAGTCTGATCTGGCCTGGTTAGTTATTATATACATTTAGTTTGCTTATTCCTGATCCCTTTGTGCTGCTGAGAAAGGATGAAGAGGGGTGAAGAGGGACATGTTGACTCTGGCAGATGATTTGGGGGCAGCACCATGAGATGACCAGTTCTTCTCCAATCCTCCCTCCTGGCCTATCTCTCCMCTCTTCCCTTCTCTGCTGTAGTTGGAAGCCTTGACACCTGCCTACCTCAGAAAATACAGACAGGCAACTAAAAGCTGTCACCTCCAAGCTGTCTGTGGAAAAGCAGAACTGTGCGTGGCCTAGGCTGCTGAGAAATCTACACTCTACTTGCCTCACTCGTGTCGGATTTCAGTACCATGTGTGCTGGACCCACCAAGCAGATTTGTCTCAGAGGGCAAGCTATGTTTGTGCAACCGTTTTTAGGCCTTGAAGTCATGGTGTCTCCCTGGGTACAACAGCAGAATTTGAGGGTGACTTACTGAAAGAGCTGAGCTCCCCACTCTTAGGCATGCCCACTTAAAGGCATGCCTGGATATGCTTCTGGTATTTGACTGACTTGTCTCAATTTCTCCAATTGTTTAAGTTTTCTCACATGTGCAAAATGCAGTGCTAACATTGATAATGTTTATTAAACCCAAATACAACACGAGGGGAACCTGGAGTGGCCTACTGGAGCACTGTCCATCCGAGGGCATGCTGCAGTGCTGTTTCACAGAACAGTGCTGCTGTCTTGATGATGTCTTGATGATTTCCCTGACCCACTCTATGCTCTCGGTAGACCCACCTGATCAGCTTGCACTCTACTAGACTTTTGAAGCTGCCAGAGTTTGCACAGCACAGGTTTGTGTAGGGAGAGTGCACAGGAAATCTCCAGGAAGGCCGACCGAAAGAGGAAGCAACCTTCCCATGCCTTGGGAGAAGAGTGGGTAAGATGTATTAGGCGTTATTCATACCACAAACCCAATTGTAGGCTAGTCAAACATATTCTGCAGGGGCTTCCCTCTCTCTTTAAAGAATAGAAGTAGCTCCTGCCACCCACGATCTGTTCTGCAGCCTGCTGCACAGAGGGGTAAGCCGTGCTGGCCTGCGTAGCAGAGGCGGTGTGTTTGGCAGACTTTGAAAAGAGAGTGTTCAGTCGTTTGAAGATGCTCTGCTTRCACAGTGCTGAAGAGTTAATTCAGAGCAACCTCCACATCCTTGTGGATGGGTGGGCAGATCAATGAGATGCTTGTTTACATTAGCATACACTGATTAGCACTTACTTGTGCTCAGTTTGCCTCTCAGTTCCTTCATCTTCTTCTGTTCTTTTAATCTTAATTCCAAAGCTCTTTGTAAGTAAGCTCTGAAGTCTTTGTGTAGTTATAACTTTTGATTGGCGTTTCAGTTCTGGCATGAATTAAATTGTTTTTTCTTTCTTTTTTTCTTTTTTTTYYTTTTTTTTAGCATCATAGACAGAGAAGTGTCATTAATGGCAGAACTTGATAAAGTTAAAGAAGAAGCCAGTAAGTAAAAAAATGTGCTAGAGAACTTTTGGAATAGTTGGGGGACCATTTTATTTTGTTTGGCAGAAAAAAATGACATGGTACATCAATTCAGTTAGTAGCATTCCAGCATCTTTCATTCTGTGTGTAGTCTTTGATGGGCTAGGATAGTTTCTGAATAGTTTCTAGCTTTAAGGAATGTGCATCATGKGGTATTCATGGCCCAGTAGTTAAGGGAATGTGTTTCAGCGGAGAAAACTGAGCAAGAAACTGAAGAATTATCCAAGTGTTGTTAGAGTGATATTTTGCCTGACAGATCAAAACATTGCTGCCACATTTGTATACAATTTTGTATATATACAATACATACTTCTTTGATTGCTGATTTTGAGGTCCTTTCAAGAAGAGTCACAAATATATGTGACATTTCTGAGCACTTCATTTGTATTTCAAACTCTCACTTAATTTGAGTTAAATCTGAACAAATTAAAAGTCAACTAGGTTACTTGCAGTTATGTACACAGGGAGACTAAAAGGAGCTTTTCCAGCAGAGGTTGACTTTAGCTTAGGTTTGGAATTCTGTCAGGTAACTTTTTGAATACTGACCTGAAATACATGTAGATTTGGAGTTCTGGGTTGTTCTCAGCAGAAGCTGCTGATAGAAATATGTCAGCAGCTTTCTGGTTACCTGCAGAGACTTCTATCATTAACAACAGGACAGGTATTCACTCCCAGGGAAAACCATGGTAAAAATCCCATTGATGTCAGCACACCTGGATCCAAGCCCAAACTGCATAAACTGTATTTTGGAGATCCACAGTCCAGGGCTGATGGTATCACAGAACCCCTTATTTAGTCTCGGTGGGGCCAATAGTCATTTTTGTGGGAAGTAAAACTAATTCCTGTCTAGTGACGTACGAACTGCCATATGGTGTGTTCTTGTTCCCTACTTTAGTGCTGACTGCACGTGTGACATTAGATGGTACTTGTTTTTACAGTCTAATTTCTTCTGTCTCTCAGAGCTGCAAAGTGCCTTAGAGATTTAGGCAGAAAGTTTTTTATAGGACTATGATATGCTAACCAAGATTTACATTATTATTTATTTTCACATCTTTTTGCTGCAATGGAGGACTGTTTTACAGTGGGTAATCTTACTCTTACTGTCAATACTGGGACAATTTCCAAATATGAACACTTTAGTTTGTTGTACAAATGGGTATGTGGCTGGCATCTCACGCTGAAATAAATTGCCAGTATGAGATGAGATCATGTGGTTTGGATAGTCACTTTGGTGCTGGGTGGTGCTGGCCTTGGAGAGAAAATTTTAGCATCACCTGGAATACACAGAAAAGGCTGACTCCTGAACAAAAGGAAAATAGCTAATGAATTGTTAATTTAATCTGATAAAGTTCCACAGACTTGAAAATCATATTCCTCAAAGATGAAATGAGAAGATCAGCTTTTATCTAGCTCTCCAGCTCTTCTGTGGCATAAAAACATGTCAGGTGCAGATGTAAGAACAGAGCTGAAGAAACCTGCCCTCCTCTGCTTCATCCCTGTTAACCCTGCCCCGTGTGATACACACTCCTGTGTTACATGATGTGTTTGTTCCCACAAAACACTACAGACACAGCCCTCTACCATGTGCCTGCTGGATTATGCTGCACTTCTCAAAGGGCCAACAAACTCTCTGTGAAATACCCCTAATCTTCACCTAAAACAAAATGACATGACAAAGTATGAACTGGGTAAATGACTTGGCAGGACTACTCAGGAAATTTGTGGTGAAAGAAGGCAAGAAGCCAGAGGCAACTGCTGTAAAGGAATCTGTGGCTCTGTCACAGACTACAACTGCCACTTGGTTGCCCAGGCTGTAAGCCCTAGAAAAAGGACATGAATACGATTATTTTACATTTAGGTACTATTTTTCCTCTCTGCCTTAAGTGGTGATCCTACCAGCCATAAAATCCGGTGTTGCCTTTGCATGGAGACATCGTATAGGTAACAGTGTGTGCATATACTTAATATATGTAATTTCACATTATCACGAATGTGAGTGGACTGTTGCTTTGTGGTTTGTCGTTAATATTTTTCTACAAGCATAATATAAATGTTCACCATCTCCTTACACTTAATAAGTGGGGTGTACGGTAGTGCGTAATTAATACTTATTTCAAAACAGCTGTTGGCTCTTGTAAGACTCCTTTCCCCTACAAATGGTAAACCTGGATGTTATGTACTTGAAAGCAAAATTGTAATACTTAGGATTTAAACATAAACTATATGAACAGATTTTTTTACGAGAGAGTAAAGTATTCTTGTATAAATAAAATACAGCCTGTCTTCCAAAACAGGGCTGCTGGCTCAAARTACTGCTTCTTTCCATGTCATAGTGGAATGCCCCCTGATCTTGTGCTTAAAAATAAAGCTCTGGAAAACTCACAACAAAATCCTTTGCCCTGGCTGTCTGAATGCTGAAGGATTGGTTCCGGTCCTTCCAGAATGGGATTTGGTATCCCATTTCTCATCACTAGGCAGTTCAGTTAAATTCACTGATTGGCTTCCTGCAAGCAGCAACATGTTCCATTCAGCTGAAGTGGGGCGTGTGGGGTGTGTGTGTGCCTCGTGTGCGATTTACAGTGTTAATACCCAGAGAGTTGTGAATTAGAGTATTTGCCTTCCTAATATTGATTACTGACTACCGCTATTTGGCAGTGGAAATCCTGACTGCTCGGCAGAAGAAAGCTGAGGAGCTGAAGAGACTGACAGACCTAGCCAGTCAGATGAGTGAGGCACAACTGTCTGAACTCAGGGCCGAAATTAAGGTCAGATGTTCATTTCTTCTTGGATATGTTGGCTATTTGCACAGATGCCAAAGAAAGACTGTCCCATTTACATGCCCCAGGCTGTTCTACTGTGAGCCAAAGTGCAACTAGCTTTCCATGGAGAAGACACACTTTCTTAAACCATTATGGCACCTCTAAGCAGTGTATAGTGTATCATAAATGTGTGTAAGCTGTCCTCCCATAAGTGGAGCAGGGAAGAGTCCTGCTATTTGTGTATCATTCGTTAGGCTCAGCTACCAAGTAAACGTGATAGCTTCAGGTTCAGTGGTCTAACACATGCATGCCAATGCAATGACGCTTCCTGAGCATGGGCTTGTCTGGACATCTCATTCGGTATGGGGAYAGGGAAATACTTGGTTCTTCGCAGATAGATATCTTGTGTACAGGACAGTTTTGTGGATTGCTGAGCCTTAAAGTGAACTTAATATATGTATTCATAGATTTCTATACAATCCATATGATCTTTGGGTATAGCTCAGAATGTAATTATTAATTCATCTGGGTTTTTTTGCAGCACTTYGTAAGTGAACGAAAATATGATGAAGAGTTGGGCAGGTCTGCCCGATTTTCCTATGATACAGAGCAGCTGACAACCCAAATTCAGCTGTGTGGAGAGAGTAAGTGCTGATAATTTCTCATACTGCAGTTACAGTAACTTAAGTGTGCCCACATGTACAAGAAATCCCAGGCAGAAGTAAGGACATGTGTCTTATCTGTGTATGTATGCACCAGRTCCGGTGTGAATGGCATGTCTGGATGTAACTGACTTGCTGTTCATGAACAAATTTACTGTATGCAAAATATTATCACTGCAGATGTGCTTCACAGTTCTTCTGTGTGTGCACAGTGCCCTTTTTGTCTGCAATTTCAAGGTATTACTCTGGTCAGTTGGAGTTTTCCATCTAGACAGATTTACAAGTGGAAATAAAAGTCACTCCTGGGAAACTCTTAAAAAATATTAGAGAGGGAAAAAAAGAATGAACATTTCCAAGGCATTATTGTAAATAGCAAGAAAAAGTATCACACAGTATGCCAAAAACAATCTTGTGATTACATGGCTGAAGAGCTGACTCTTTTGAGGCATAACTGGTTTAATTCATTAGAAGATAAGAATTGCTATTGCAGAAGACTTTCAAGATCCATCTAATCTGCTGTCCTGTCTCTTATTGCGGTTCAGCGTTAGGGATGACTGCATTCATTTTGTTAAGAGGACACCTAGTGGGAGAAGTAACTGATGTTAGGATAAATGATTAAAAGCTTCAGAAAAAAATAACAGATGATGCTCGTTCCTATAATCTACATCATCTTTTTTGATCCTTAAAATGGAAAAATGGAAGTTCTGCTTGCCCCTAATGTGTAATATTAGATAAAACAACAGGTGTTTCACTAAGAATATTCTCACTGAAGTGAGGCTCTGGTTTGTATCATGTATGCAAGGGATGCATGAACATGGAAATTCCATAATCAGAGGAATCGAAACAGCAAATCAAGATCAAGAGCTTCAACAGCTCAGGATCCTCTTTGAGACTGCTCAGGGCCACCACAGAGAAGCAGACAGCTTAAAGAGTTTGTGGAAGTGCAGTGAGATAGGAATCAAGGATTTGTTTAGGGTACTTCACATCCAGACATGAAAGGGGTTAAGAAAGCAGCTGGTCTAGAAATACTAAGAAGATGAGKAGCAGGACTAACAGTAAGGCACTAAGATGAGCTGTCATGCTTCATGATAGTGCTGCCTGTGCCRTGGCTTACATGAGGTGGACTGGCACATAGCAGTCAGTTCCAGTCCAGTAGATATCCATGCTACAGAAGAACCTTTATTAGACATCTCCTTGGAGAAGAAGGAGCAACAGATACTATGGCTTTTCTTTCTTCTTAAAGAATGCTTAGACAGAATAAGGAAACTTTCATGACCACTACCTCAGTTGTAGCTGGTGCATGTGTAGACTGCAAGCTGCAACCTCTGCAGTTTTCTATGATCAAAGAGTGATTTGAGGTCAAWTCAAGGCCATACAGACAAGGGCATGCACAACTTCTTTTGACCTTCAGTACCAGAAGGAGATACTGGGTATCTCACTCATCTTCCTTTCCATGTTTCTTTCTTTGTTGCCTAAAGACTCCTATTCTAACCATTCTGACAGGATAACAATGAGGGGTGGTCCTAACAAAATTTTGATCACTGCAGCTGGTTAAAAGTCTTCAGGTAAAAGCAATAGGTGCCAGGAATAAAGGGTCAATATTAGAGAAGTTTTTTGAGTGACTTGGGCTGGACATCAGTGACTTTCTTACTCTCAACTGACAACAAAACTCTCTTGAATACTGCTGCAAATCATATTTAAGCTGAAAATGCCCAATGAGACAGACATACATTCGTTGTAACTGTTGGCATTAAGGCTTTGAGATAATGCTGACCTTTTCACAACAGATTATTTATTCTTAAACAGTATTAAACTAACTTATGTTTGGATATTGACCATTTAACTGATAGTACCCCATACTTTTTTTTTTGCAGTTTCTCGCCCAAAGAACAACTATTCCTCAAGAACACCATGTAGTTCAGTGCTCTCTTCAATAACTTCACAAGTAACAACTGGCAAGCAAAATGCACACACACGAAAATCTTCTAGTAATGCCAAGAACTTTGATAATAAAACAGCCAACACTAAAGTACAAGGTCATCTTTCTTCCAATCCTACAGAATCCTCTCCCCAAGGAATCCCAACAAATAAGCAGGTAAGAAACCAATTACTAACAAAAATAAAAGAATTCAACGATTTCAGAAAGCAAACAGTAKTGAAAGCGGTTAATCCCAAATCAAGTAATGGTTTGCAGTTTTAATTGATAATTTCTTACATGTGGAAAAATATCCAAATAGATCTTTTGTGTCTTGATTTTCATGACAGTGTGAACATGAGATAGGAATATCAGAAATGCTATGCCACTATCTACACTCCAAAAGTGACCAACATCAGTTAACAGATTGACAAAAAAGCCTCCATAATATCCACTTGTCCTATGTGCTGTGATGCAGAAACATGTTTTCCTGATTCTTGACAAGTGATCAGCTGATGTTCTGAAGCCCTTGAGAGGGGAATCCTGCCGAGTTTAAGAAAATATTTCAGAAATTGTGTCATACAGTTTATAGTATYGAGCCAGATTATCAACCGTTTCATTTGAAGAACACCTGAGAGTGTCCTTGTGCTATAATGCCTATTCAGACAGAACTGCCRCTGAAGGTGGTCTGCGTTTTGTCCAGGCAGAGCTTTGGGCTCAAGTAGGTGTCTGAAGGAACACACAGGAGTGTTGCATGATGGCAATGTGGGTATGAAGTCAGCTATCATGGCAAGTCAAGCAAATAAAGCAGTATAGTCACTCCCCGCTACTGATCAAAGCTTGCTTTAAGCTAGTGACTTAGCCTCACGRCTAACACCTCTCCTGCCATTTGGATCTTAACCTGACTCTAATTTCCATGTGTATTTTTTTCCCTATCATCTCCTACTCCATACTACGTCTTTAATATGCTACTTTAACATACAAGTTGTTTTCTTAATTTGAGGGAGAAGTCAGTCTGGATCAAGTTGTTCTTTCCTTCCTAACTGTTGCTGTTGAGGTGTCTAGTATTTCATCTCCTTTTCTCCTTTTCTTGTATCATCTCAGATTTGAATTTGGCATCAGTGGTGAGCCTGTTCATTAATTTCCAAGCTGCTCAGATATACTGATAGTTCATTTATTCTGAAGTGTTGTTAATAGAGAGCTCTAGCACCACTGTGAACTGTATAGTCTGTTCTCTCTCTAGTTGCACTGAGAATTGTATTCTGCAATTTTTATTAATTCTGATTTATTTTATTTCTTACTCTGCTTGAAAGATTCAGAGAGTCTAACAGTCATCCAATTTCTTTCTGGGTAGAATGCACCCTCTAGCCAGAGACGAAGATTCAACCCTCAGCATCAAAACCCTCGGCTCAATGGATCTCTTAAGCCACAAGGTGCCAGTAATGAGGCTGACCAAAGTAATGTAAAGAGTGGTTCCAGGTCTGAACACAGAAGACAACAGCATAACAGCTTCCGACATAAAAACAAAGGAGCTATGAAAAATCAAGAGCAGTCCACGACTACAAGGACCACAGAAAATGTGACGCACTCAGAAAAAAACAGGCGGAAGCAGCATCCAGCAGACGCCGCGGATCACCGTCCTTTCCGAGGCAGTGTTGGCAGGGTGTCGCAATGCAATTTATGCCCTGCGAGGATGGAGGTCTCTGCTGATGCCACTGTGCTTTCAGTGCCAGCTGTGACTTTGGTGGCTTAAAATGTCACAGTGAAGGCAGGCAGAGAAATTTCATGTCTTTATTTTAGTTTACTGCTGGAGATGCTTGTTGAAATGGTGAAGAAAATAATTGAGAACACAGCCATTTTAAATCTGTTGCTGCTTAAAACTTGTTGATATCTTTATTACTTGCTAATTATCAGCATTAATTCATACTTTCAAGGCTTTGCCCAATATGCTCACAGTTATTTTGTCATGACAGTACAGAATCTTACCAAAGCAGCATTTACTACTTAGAAGAATGAAATCCTGACTGAAAAATTGAAGATTAAATTCACAATAGTAAAAGACCTGTTGTAGATATGTGGTTATATCAGTCAACATTACTACTATTTAGAGCAGCCAGTGCTGGGAAAGATCCCAAGAAGATTGTACGCTCTGGTCTGCAATGAAATTGAATAATCTTGTAGAATTTTCTGAAAAAAGATCTATACACCTTTCTTTCTGTGTTTGTATATGTGTGTGTTTATATACACGTGCATACATAGACATACATGCACGCACACTGTATACACACAGAGTATTGTTATATACAAGAAAATCTGAGAAAGTAGTACATTTGATTTTTTGCTTGTTATTCCATAATCTGAGATCTTTAAATGCAAGTATAAATCCATTAAATATACTACATATTGGTATTTTTCATTGACAAACTATTTTTATGAGGCTGAGAAAAATGTTCATTTCTTAAGTTTGGAATGTATATAGTCATGGCTATTTGGATGCACCGCTCTATTCTCCATCTTTACCAGTCACTTTGATTGTTTGCATTTTTTTTTCATATGAGAAGTTGCAGGTGTTCTAAACTTGAATCCAAATTATTTTTCTATATTTTTGCCGTAGGAGCCATCTGTTCTATATAAGAGCTATGACTAATATAATTTGTTACAGCAACATTCAGCGAAACATGAATATACATATTTGAGCAGATACCACATCCTTATGAGTTTTCTATTAAAATAAAATGTTAGTGTTAATGTCTGATTCTGTATTTCAGAAAACGTTTTTCTTCCAAAAAATTAAAATCTCCTTTCTAAAATACTATGGTGTTTGCTGCTTTGCAGTACCACTTGTAATCCTATTCAATCTATATTCACTTAGATAAATGGGGATGAGGGGGTGGCTTTCATTTGAGTTTGGATTGAGTCAGACTTTTGCTTTTAGCTCATTCCTACGAACACAGGTGCACAGAACAGCAATCACTGACCCTGGACATAGAATCATAGAATCCTTAAGGTTGGAAGGGACCTTTAGAGATCATCTAGTTCAACCCCTGCACACACAGGATCACCTAAAGCACATGGCACAGGCTGCATCCAGGAATGTTGGGAAGATCTCCAGAGGAGACTCCACAACCTCTCTGGACAGCCTGTTCCAAGGCTGTCACCCTTGCCGTTAAGAATTTTTTCCTTAAACCCCTGCAGAACTTCTGGTTCTTCAGTTTGTGGCTGTTTCCTCTAGTTCTATCGTTGGTCACCACTGCAAAGAGGCCGCCCCATCCTTCTCCCTCCCTTGAGGTATCTATAGACACTGGTCAGGTCTTCCCTCAGCCTTCTCCAGGCTGAGCAGGCCCAGCTCCCTCAGCCTTTCCCCACAGGGCAGATGTGACAGGGCTCACAGATGTTCCGGGCCCCTCATCATCCTCACAGAAGGTCAGTCCCCAGCCTGTACTGGTGTCTGGGGTTGTTCCTCCCCAAGTGCAGGACCCTGCACCTGCCCTTGTTGAACTTCATGAGGTTTCTCACTGCCCAGTTGTCCAGAACATACCTGTTACACAAATTATTACTTAATATAGTGAGATGTCAGCATCCAGTCCTGGCATCATGTGAGCTCTAGAGACCTGAGGGTTAGAATCACATAACTCTGAAGTGTCTACTGCCCGCTGAGGGCAGTGAGAGCAGAACCAGTCAGGTTAGTCCCTAGCTGTGTGTTTGCTGTTGCTCTTTGCCATTTTCCTCTGCCTGATTTCTCCTAGGTGACTGCATACTTCCTTCCTTCCAGGACTAAGAGGTGAGAGGCGGCGTTTCTCTTCCCCGTGTGCTGCAAACACGTTTTCTGTGTGCGTGGGCTGGCTGGCCAGTGGGCTGGCTCATGGAGCACACCCGTCTGGGCCCTCCACATGTGCTTTAGTGTGGGGATACCCGTTTTCACCGTGTCCTGGGGCTGGGCTCTGAAACCCATGTGCTTTAGTGTGGGGATACCCGTTTTCACCGTGTCCTGGGGCTGGGCTCTGAAACCCGGTATCCCAGTATCCCGTCGACTTGCAGTGCTTGTGTCTGTACCCTTGGAATTGTGTCTGACAAGTTCTAGGAGTGTTTTACTGCTCACAATAGCTGTAATTAATTAATTGGATGCTCTTCTGTTTATCTTCAGTGAAGTATTTTTTTTTTTAATTTCTAATAACAGAGGCAGCTAGCAGTGATACTCCACAGGAGAGCGAAGGAGTTGTTAAGAGCAAGACAGAGAGAACTCCCAGCTTTTCAGACCAGTAAGTGTTAAGAGAACTCAGTTTGTAAAGCAAAYACAGCTGCTTGGTGTTGCTCAGGCACAAACATGGAGCCACCCACTGCCTTTTGTAGACTTTTGAAAGGGAAAACATACCTTAAAKAGGGGTATTTTAAAGCACTTTGCATTCATTTATCTATTGTGTAACATTAGATTGAAGCTAAGAGCAGAACTCAGCAAAATACATGACCAGCTGTTTTAGATGGTGCAGGTGACCTCCTGTTTTTTTTTTTGTTTGTTTGTTTTGTTTGTTTGTTTGTTTTTAAGGTGAAAATTTATCCTTCATAGATTGAAAATCACCAAACAGATGAAATTTTATTTCCAATGGGAAATACTAGTATTTCTTCCTAGCTGTAATCAAATTTGTGCCAATTTTGTTACCTAGTAGTATTACCTAGAGCTTGCTTTGTAGAGAGACATACCTCAATTAGCAACAAGTTCAAAGAGGTTCATTAATTGTATTGTATTCCACAGCTCTATAGCTAAAAGCGAGCTGAATGAAAAATCTCCCTCAGAATTAATGTGAAAATGTTTTTATCGCGTGGAATAAGGTCTGTTGGTTGCATCAGCTACAAATTTCTCCATACGTTGAATCACACCAACAGAATTATCTCTATTTAAATCATATCTTGATGATAATACTCCTGCTGCATATCAAGGCCATGCTCAGTTACATTGGAGTTGTTTTTTCAGAAACTGACTTAGTATTTTGGGAATTTACAATAATATTTTTCCTATTTCCTTAACCCAAATGAACCCATATCACTGTTTGGAAAGAACAGTAGCGTGAAAGTGRGGATTAAATGACTGGAGAATTGACAACGTTTATAAGAAAAAAAAAATTAATGAATCCAAACAGACTGATGGTCCATATTTCATGCAGGTATTAGATACTAGTAATCATTAGATTATGACATGGAAGTAATTTTCTGAACATAGTTTTTTTCTACAATGAAGGATAATTTTATGAAGATAAAAAGTAGGCTGCCATCAAGCACCATTTGACAATATGTATAATCCTAAATGCAGAACTGTAGCTCGCATTGAGCAAACAAACAAAAACATAGAATCAAGGCTCTAAACAATAGCAATAATTCTGCTGTATCCTGCCATCACAGCCCATCAGCTACTTATCAAGTCCAAACTATAGGGAATACAATTTTTTTTATTTTTTATTTTTTTTTTTAAACCGCAAGCCTTTGTGCCTAGCACAATGGAAAAAAAAAACCATTGAAACTATGTGGGCCATTATAATGCAAATGTCATGAAAGCTGCTTGAAAAATCTTGTACTATCAAGAAGATTAAATGAAAACTAAGCTAGTTCCAACTCATGGAATCCTATAGGATTATTCTCAGAACTTTTTTCTTCTACACATGAAAAATAAGTCYACGCTTTTTGAAACCTTTAGTGTGGTATTTGTAGAAGTCTTTGTAATTTATCAAATGTTGAAGAGGAAGGAAACCAGTTTTAGGAAACATTGTAGAAAGACTCAAAATTATGTGGTRAATTCTTCAGCTCTCTAGTAAGTATTGATGTCAACTTACCTARAAAAAAGTTTATTAAAAGCCTAATTTTCAGTAAAACTATTCTGAAAAAAAAAACTCCTACATAATTCGTGCCAGTAATGAATTACATGCACAAAGAGTAGCAGATTATATTATGCTAATATCTTTCCAGATTATATTATGCTAATATYGTTCCATAATCTTTGCATTKTTCTTATTTTCMGTGAAAAATCATCGTTTAAATATTCAAAGGGTAAACTGACCTTCAGTATACAAACCAGTAACCAAAAATTACAGTATAGTTACCCTTACAGTAAATATTGCTCATTGCAAAGTATCTCTTTAAAAATATGTTAGTACACGTAAATCTGTTTTTCAATTGTGCAAATGAAATCTCAAGCCTGAAGAAAACCCTGAAAATGTGATTTTTTTTTCTAAATGACCCAGAAAGTAAAGCATTTAAAGAACTCTGCTGAATTTTTAGTAGTCCCAGGAATTTTGGCAGTGTGACAGGTCTTTTCAACATTTAGGGCCAACTGCATTTTAATAGGTTGAAAAAGCAAAAGCAGTAGCAACAACAACAACAAAAAGCCCTCTTAGCAACAAATAAGGGTACAAAAAGAAGTCTACTTAGGAGAACTTAAAGCAAATGTTAAACCACATTGGTTTAAACAACTAAAAAGATGTTTTAAAAGCAATGAACCAAAATCCACTTTGCTGACAAAAATATACCRCATTTCTTCAGTGCCATTGCTCAAAATATACCCTGTGAGAACAGGAAGAGATCCAGTATGTCCTCCCTCAGACTCTGGAGGAAAAAGGGGTTATTTTGTCTTTAAACCTGGACGCTTCTGTGGGCTTTGGTCAAAGAATGCAAAGAAGCACCACTGCTAGCAACATGACATGGACCTGCTGTTCAATTTGTTCATCAATGACCTGGACGAGGGCATGGAGTGCACCCTGAGCAAGTTTGCAGATGACACCGAGCTGGGTGGAGTGGCCGACACTCCGGAGGGCTGTGCTGCCATCCAGAGGGMYCTGGACAGGCTGGTGAGTTGGGCAGAGARGAACCTCATGAGGTTCAATAAGGACAAGGGCAGGGTCCTGCCCCTGGGGAGGAATAACCTCTGGCACCAGTACAGATTAGGGGCTGACCTGCTGGAGAGCAGCTCCACGGAGAGGGAGCTGGGAGTCCTGGTTGACACCAAGTTCACCATGAGTCAGCAGTGTGCCCTTGTGGCCAAGAAGTCCAAAGGGATCCTGGCCTGCATC